AGAGATGTGATCATCACAGCAGAGGCCTTTGTGTCAAAGTAACTGAGTATCAAACAGAAACAGATTTTCATGTTCTGGCTTTTTATAGTAGATAACCTTCAAAATATTCTGCAGTCAATCAAAAACTGAAGAAAACCACGAATCAACATGTGAACATGACCTGATGCTGCTGAAGTGAAGCAAAGTTACAGAGGGTTTGATTACAGACACAGCTGAGAGTTTGTAATCTGTGATCATTTTAAAAAGTTTACATTGAACAGCAGAAATGAGGCTTTACTGTCAGAGGCCGACAGCACTGAACACAACAGCAGACTGGTGGGTAATAAACAGTGAATGATGCAGAAACAGATTTTTGAAGGTAAACTGTTCTGGAGTACACTGAGAGAGAGAGAGAGAGATGTGCAGGCAGTAACAGCCAAAGTCAGAGAGAATGTCACGGTTCTGGGTCAGTGTTGACCCAGCATTTTCAGTTTTATGTTTTGGTTTATTTTTGCATCATGGATTATTTTCTGGAGCTTTGTTTATTATTTTTATAGATCTGTTTCAGTTATTCTTGGTGAGGAATTAGTTCTTAGGTTGGGTCTCGTGTTTAGTTTAGGTTTATTCTGCCCGTGTAAAGTCCGTGATTCTTAGTCTGCATCTCTGATGTCTGTGTTTCTAGCTTTGCTCCCCCTGTCTCATTAGGTCTCATTCCTCCCAGCTGTTTTCCCCTTCTGTGTCTTACTCCCTCATTATCCCTCTGTGTATTTAAGCCTTGCGTTTCACTGTGTTAGTTGCTGGTTCGTCTGTGTGTCTACCCCTGTATTTCTGCCGTATGTGCTGCCATGGTCCAAGGGTTCACGTGTCAGGTTTTCAAGTTTCTCATTGCAGGTTTTTGTTCTTTTCGTTGTTATTTTGTAGTTATTCCTAGCTTAGGTTTTTGTTAGCATAGCTCCCTGCAGTGCTCCGCTTTGGTTTTTATTTTGCCTTTCATTGTTAATAAATTTTCTCACAGCTACGCTATTGTCCGTGCTTGCGTTTGGGTCCAAATCCTCCTCCTCCAGACGCAGATCGTTACAGAGAATTAGTGAGCATATTTATCAAACGTGAAGAAGAGTTTTGATCTTTTGCTGCTGGTTCAGTCAGTTTTGGTTGGAGAGAGAGATGAAACCTGCAGCTTCAGGATCTGTGAGCTGTTGACTTTCAGCCCCGACGGCGTGTCCGTGTATGTGGCGTCGAGTGAAAGTTCCACGCTCTGTGTTTCCATCTTTGTGTGTTTAGCTGCTCTCATTTACTGTTTTAGCTGTTTGCTGGTTGTTGAAATAGTTTGAACTTTAACCTGAGATTCTGGCAAAATACATCTATATTAAAAATTGATTAATTCAAATTAAAACTATTTAAATGGGAAAATTAATTTTTTACACCTGCCTCTGCTGCTGGGTAATGTCAGCTGGTCTATGTGCAGCTGGCTGTGAGGCTCAGGGAGCGTCTACAAAGTGTAACCCTGAAAGACCATCATCTATAAATATTAATAACTGGACTCTCATACAGCGAGACTAAAATGCCTTTAAATATCAGGTTATCCTGCTGATCCAAGTCCAACACTGAGTTTGTAAAAACATGTTTGTCAATCATTTTATTTGGTTTATGAGGAAAATGATTCAATAACTTTTGAATCATAATTCGCTGTGGAACTCTCAAACTCTTCATTCCACCTTAAAGTCTTTCTGACACTGAAATCCATACCAAAATGGCCGTTTGCTTTACAGACAGCAGTCCAACACAAACATACACACATCATCCAAAACACAGTCCAACATCCAAATCTCCTCCATTGCCAGCATGAATGATGGGAAAGAGAAGGAGGAACACTCTGACATTCAGGGTTAGAATGAGTTTCATGAAGCAGACTGTGAAGATCAAAGCTGCATTAGAAAGCTTACATGAATGAATGAGTGGACAGAAGTGGACAGAGATCATCTGAAACACTTCAAAGGCTTTAAATCATCACATTTCTCTTTATTCTTTATCAACTCTGTTAGTTTCTATCATTTTCTGTGGAATGAACCTAAGCAGCATTTCATTGGGCTGTGGGAGAACATCCAACCTCCACAGAAAGGCCCAGCTGACCAACAAGCTTCAACCTACAACCTTCTTGCTTTAAGGCACTAGTGCTAACCACTTTTCCCCATTTCAGCCCAAATCCTGCATTTTCCTGTTTCTGACTCCAGGCCAGCTCCACTAACACTTTCTCATCAGATACTGCCACCTAGTGGAAGATGTCTTAGTTCCATTTGAAGCTTCAGATTACAGTTAGTTCCTTTACAAAGCGGTGGAAGTGGTGGGCCCACAGCACCATCATCACTGAGTGCCATAGGACACTTAACCTTTGTTTCCATATGCTGGGAACTTCCTGTTGTTCCAAGGAGGACTGGAAAATGTGTGAAAATCTCCCAGTCAGTTCCTCACAGCACACTTCAACCATTTCCCTCCCAAAGCATCAGGACCAGGGCCTTTTCTCTCTTTGATCCCACTAAGAGATTTCCACACAAACACCTTATCAGTGGGACTCTCAGAGCTACCAGCCCTTTGCTAAAATCACAAAGCTCTTCATTGAAAATAATGATATCAAAGCTGGAATCAAATGAGTCCAAGTCTTCTGCTGATTTAGCATCACATTCATCTTTGGTCCTTGTTCTGCATCCCCACCATGGACTTCATTCCTTTCCAAGCCAGCCTTGAGTGTCCTTTATTCAGCTCATCCTCTGCTTTACTTTTAGACCTGATTTTAGCTGCTTTATCTCCCTTTCAACAAGTTTATGTGCCTCAGTCTTTTTCTTCTCTCCCTCGTAACAAGACAGCTTCTTCTGCCTGAGAACATGTTTGAGTGATTTACTAATCCAAGGCTGCTTATTGGGGAAAATACTTCCTCTTTTCAAAGTAATCCCCATTTTTTCCCAGGAAAAAAATGTATGTCGATGATCTAAGTGAGAACATGAGCCTTTAAAAAGTCCCAGTGGGTGCAGTCAAAGCAGTCCCTCAGTTCCAGTATAGTGTCTTTGGTCCAGACTGGAACAACTGTGTGCCCAGTTTGAGCTCTCTTCAGTCCTTTAATCTGACAGACCCAGAGGGGCCATCACATCACATTTAGAAGCTCCCCTGATGGAGCCACAATAACATGTCCAATTAGACAAATGTCCTGTTAGACAAAGTGGAATAAATTATTCAAGGAGTTAGTCACAGAACAGAGATTCAAATCTCCAAAATCCAACTGGCTGCATCGCGGCATATAGTCTGAAAAATCTGCACAGTTTCCTGTTTGAAGCTACTTGCTGTTGACTTCAGCTGTTTGGAGTTTCCATTTTCTGAACTTCTACATTCTGAACCTTCTTCAGCTCGGAACAGATAATGAAACACTGAATGATTTCAAGCTCACACTTTGTCTAATAAACTTACATCTTTCATTCTTTATACAGATTGAGTGTCTGTGGTTTGTCAAAGATCAGCTGTGATTATCTGGCAGAGGGGCTGAAGTCCAACCCCTCCCATCTGAGAGCACTGTTCATGTATAATAACAACCTGAAGTATCCAGATATGAAGCAGCTGTCTGGTCTTAAGGAGAGTCCAGACTACAGACTGGTGTAGCTGGGGTCAGTAGAGTGATGGAGTGAGTGGGTGGTGCTGTCAGCAGTGTTGTACTAAACACAGTCAGTATGAAACAAAGATCCAGTGTTTCCTGTAAAGCTGCAGCTTCTCAGTGAAGCTGTGAGAGGAGAATGGTGACAGGCTTCAGGATTGGACACAAACACTTCCTGTTTCTGCCTTTTTGTCACCTTTATGGTCACCATAGTAACGGCTGACATGCTCTGATCAAACGCTGTCAACAGCCAATCAGCTCTCTGAACAAAGCAGCATGCAGACCAATTACTACATTCATTTCCAAGTTTAAAGCAGTGAAGAACACAGTCTGTAGGTGAGGAAGAATTTAGTGAGAGTAGATGTTTGGATGGAATTGCTCCAGTTAACAGCTGGAACCGTCCATCATGATTGTTGTGGTTGTTGTTGGGGTTCCTACAGAGCTGAGAGTGGACAGACCAAGGTTATGTTAATGAATAAAAGTCCAAACTTAAACTAGGAGTGAAAAACATTTTCATCAAAAGTGAAGCAACAATGAGTCCTAGTACAGTCCCAGCACTGAAGTCCCTGCTGCTCTTTATACTGGATGTGCTGCATCACTGACTGACAGCTGATGAAGAGTCTCTGGAAACACTCTTTTATCTCCTCTGCTCTTCCTTCTTCTCTCTGCAGGTGGACGTTGCCACATATAGGAGGGTGTATGTGATGAGAGAGGAGGAGCTGTGTCCTGATGATACAGAGAGGTTGAAGCAGCAGCAGCTTGTGTGTAGAGCCACTCTGACTGGGCCATGTTACTGGGAGGTGGAGTGGAGAGTCCAGCATCATCCAGCAGTGACTGACAGAGGAATGAGAAGAAGTGCAGATGACTGTCAGTGCTGCAGAGTGAACTGCTCTGAGAACAGCTCCACTGTCAGACACAATGTAGAGTCCAGCATCATCCCTGTGTGTCCCTCTGGATCTGACAGAGGATCATCAGTGTATCTGGACTGCTCTGCTGCTGCTCTGTCCTTCTACAGTCTCTGCACAGTCTGTCTGACTCTGTAAATATTTTACAACTTGTTGTAATTACAGAACATTAATATTATATTCAAACATGTGATCTTATCTTCTGAATCTTTACCAAATAAAGAAAAACCAAACTAACAAACAGAAACTGCCGTGTCCTTTTTCACCACATCTATGAATCTTTTCGGTGTTTTCCTCTTTTCCTCCTTCCTGGCAGCTCCATCTTCATCATTCTGTGTCCAGTATATGTGAACATGTCCAAAGCATATGAGCCTCATGTTACCCGTTTGTGTGAGTTACGCCTGTCAGTGCGTTGTGTTCTTGTGTATAAATAAGGGCAGGAGACAGTGCTGGATCTCTGAGTTCTTTACTGTCAATTTATGACAGCACTGCTGACTCTACTGAACCAGGATCGGAGACATGGTTGGGGTGCCCCAATCGAGGCCCTTGTGTTCCTCTTCTGGCTGGCGAGTGGAGCAGCCTACAGGGTTGTGTCCAGGGTGTTCGCAATACCCCATTCCACTGTCCACCGCATCGTGCACAGGGTCACAGAGGAGGTGGTGGCCACGCGCCATCAGGTCATCCACCTCCCACGGACCCCAGAAGACCAAGATGCCATGTCCAATGGGTTTGCACAGCTGGCAGGCCACAGGGCCTTTGTGAAGGCTGCTGGTGCAATTGACTGCTGCCATGTCCGCATCAACAATCCCACCAGCGGTCCTGACGCTCAGTGCTACAGGAACAGGAAGTTGTTCCCGTCCATAATCCTGCAGGCGGTTTGTGACCATCAGGGCTATTTCATTGATACATATGTGGGCTGGCCGGGGTCAGTGCATGACTCCAGGGTGCTCCGCAACAGCCCATTTACCCTCCTCCAGGGCACTTCATCCTTGCAGATGGAGGGCACCCATGTCTCCAGCATCCACTCCACCTCATCACTCCCTACAAGAGGCCAGTCCAAGGTGTTGGAGCCCTGCGCTTTAACTCCCATCATTCCAAAGGCACGCTCTATTATAGAGCGTGCCTTTGGAATGATCAAGACAAGGTTCTTCTTCTTCCTCCAAGCGCAGGAGGTGCACCACACCTTTGTCCCACATGTAAGTCAGTAGGATACATAAGCAGTGTTTCAATAATAATCATCATGATATAATGGGGACTACAGTGTATGTTTGTGTATTAATACGTTATGTACAACTCAAAACATCTGTTTCAGGTCATAACAGCATGTGCCATCCTGCACAACATCTGCCTTGGTGTCGGGAATCTTGTGGCCCTGGAGGATGAGTCCGAGGATGACGCGCAAGAGGGGGAGGCTGGTTTGGAGGCAGGCAGTGGTGCTCTCTGGTGGGATTCGGCTATCTGCAGAGGTGTCTGCCCTGGAGGGGGTACCCCTGGACCACGATTATTGTTAGAAGGCAGGTATGCTGTTTATAGTGCATTGTTAGAGTGCTAGAATATTACATGTGACATCCATATTAACAGGATTGTGTGCACTTTGTCCTTGCATCTTTCTCCATACATTTCAGGGACATGGCAGCTGTCAGTTAAACAAGTCCTGCAAACCCAAGTGATGAGATGATGTGGTGGACAGTGGAAACGAGCACACCTAAATGACTCCCGGCCACCAAGCTGGAGATGCTCCACTCTGTAGCTGAAAATGCAAACCAAGGGTCTCACTTGAGGCACCTCATTCCTTTCTGTGGTCCTGGTCCAGCAGATTGAGCAGTACTGCCTGAGACTCCCTGCTCAGCCACATAACAGGCCTAGTTAACAGTGCTTATGCATAATGGGACACTCAGGTTGATCCTGGACTGGAGTGATGAGTCCTAGTGAATGATTGTCATTTTGTGTTTGGGTGTCTTATGTCATTTGTGTTGCACTGATGGTATTCCCTCAGTTCACACACTGACTATCCTTATTCAGTTACACATATATTGTGACGTTGTATGCAGTATGACTGACTGCTCCAAATACAGTTGGAGTGTAACAATTTTTTTTTATTCACAGGACTTTGTACATTCTGTTCATTTTTCACATTTGTTCAACAATTCAAATCAAAAGTGCAACTTGTATTAACAGAACTTAAATTATTTCGTCCACATTTCACATATCCTGCACAAACAAATATGAGAACTGTAAGTGTTTGTACAATGGGTCCTATTCACACTACCTTACTCATTTTGTTTTTCCACAACCTTCCAGTAGACGTATGATCCCGTCCATTTGCTCGGCACATCTTTCTTCAATCTCCTTCTGTAGCCTTATTTCCTCTTTGATCAATTCCAGGACTTCATCCTCCCTGTTCCTCTTCCTCTTTTCTGGTTTTGCCTCCAGCTGGGTCTCATTCTCCCGCTGTTCCACATCCTGCCCTTGGGTGCCCACTGCTTTGCTGGGCCTTGGAGTGTCCTCCTGGATGGAGGCAATTAGAACTGGACACCTGGTAGAAGGCCTCTGTCCTAGGACCTCATCCATTGGGACAAACCAGGGCCAAGTGGCAGCAATGATCTTCCCACTCACCCCCTCACCTGATGTGGGATACTTGCAATATGATGCAATATGATAGGACATCTCAATGATGTTAATCCTTGCACAGGATCCTCAGCAATATGTGCCAGCTTCAAACTGCAGAGCAGGACAGATTTATGCATGCATACTGTTGCTATACCTGAAAGAAGCTGGCAGAATTATTGGAACAAGTCTGCCAGAGATCAGTAATATCTTCCCCACTCGCTGTCTGAGGAGGGTGCACAGTATCCTGCGGGACCAACATCACCCTGCGCGCCACCTTTTCCATCTGCTGCCCTCAGGGAGAAGGTACAGGTCTATACAGGCCAGAACATCCAGACTGGCCAACAGCCTGTACCCACAGGCTGTGAGGCTCCTGAACTCTCTGCCCCCCTCTCACGGACAATAACCATATCCAACTTCTTAATAGCAATGAACTGGTCTGCATTGGTGCATCATATCTTTATTCTCTTCCCCCTCCTGCCCCCCCCTCTTTCTTAAATAGATAACTATCATATCTGATATCATATCTCACAGTACAATAATATTGAATGGGTTGCATTGTTGTACTTTGTCATGTTTCTCAGGTCTTTGTCTGAATTTCTACCAACATTACTTGTCATGTTCTCATGTTATTGCTAAGGATTGTCTATTGCATTGGAGTCACACTGGGTTAAATATGTACACTTGGGTTTTAAGGGGTATTTATTATTTTCTTCTTTTTTGGGTTGTATGGAAGCCCCAAACGCAATTTCATTGTTCTTGACAATGACAATAAATAAATACTACTACTATACCTCCAACCCGCAGCGGCTGAGTTCCTGGCACCAGTGAACAGGTGTTCGTTTTCACTCCGGAGTTTGATGAGCTCAGCCGTCTCCTTCTTACTCCCTGGAATATGACAGGACATTGGAATACTTTTTCTACCATCTTACACTTCTGTGTCATCATTTTTCTGTTTGACGTGTCGTATAATACATTTGTCTTGATGCATTCTCAATCATCCAGGAAAGTAAATCTCCAAAAGTTGATTCTGTTCATCTGGACATAGCGTTTTGTGGGAGAAACATTTTGTAACTCATCCAAGTGACTTCTTCAGTCTCAGCTGACTGCAGGTTTCTCCAATCTTATAAACAGTACATTTGCATAATGACTGAAACCAGCCCACTGAAGGAGCAATGAGCTGGGAGGTCAGTTCCTTAATCGTAACTATGCAAATTCTCATGACCATTGATCAACAACCACTGACCAAAACCCACTGATCAAAGACCACTGATCTATGGCCATGAGTACCATTCACAGAGAGTTGGGGAATGGCTGCAATCACAACATTGTAAGATGGCAAAAGATGTACCCTATTATACATTTGCACATTCAGCTGTGTGCAGACTCCCAACTTCACTCTCAGCCAAGCCGATTTTTGTCAGGAACAAATACAACACTGTCATAGGCCAAGCAATAACATTTGTAAGTTTCTTGGGTGACTTCTGTGACATGTTCAACCTGAGTGGTGACAGAGCGCGGGTGGAGGCGTTGGAATGGAGTATGCTGTTCTCGCCGGCTGGATAAGTTATCGGTGACAGATGTCTTCGTCAACGTAGGCACACTTGCGCAGATATGTGATGTGTTTCCACATTGCACAGATATTTGGAATTTACACGGCTACATTTTTGTATTTGTTATCTTCAGGTTTTTGTTGGTGACCCTCACAGGGTAATATAAAAACGGACCAGTTACAAATCAGCGGGACTGTGTATTTACAGTTACCTACGTGTGATGGCAGTGGATAAATTCACCGTGACATGTACAATTACACTGCCATTATCTTTTGCGTTTTTGACAATTGTGTCGGTACTATTAAAATCGTCGACGACTAATTTAATAGTCGACGCGTTGTTTTAAGCTTTGTAAAATCAAAAAAGACGCAGGAATAAGTTGTAGGATTTAAGAGTATAATAATGGACTGAAACAGAAGATGGCAGCACTGCATGTACAAGGATGCCAGCTGCCGTTAAACCCCGAAGAAGAAGAAGCTGTGTCCCAGAATTCATAGCGCGGCCCTGCTCAGTTTCCAACAATGGCGGCAGCTAATTAGTTTTAATATTACTCTTATTATTATTTCTGGGTCACAAAATAAATGTTTAACATATTTTCAGGCAAGAATGTAGCTGTGTAAACCTCAAATATCTGCTCAGTTTATCAAGACTCAACATATTTTCAAAAGCGCTCCGACGTTTTCGGAGAAGTCTGTTACCCACCAGCTCGATAGCTAGCTGGGGTTCAAGGCTCACTAGAGCCCGTGAGAACAGCGGACTCCCGGCAAATTGTTTTCAACCTCACCGCCGTCTTTCGCTACTCAGGTTAAACATATATAAGTCACTTAGATTACTTAAATATGTTATTGTTTGGCCTTTTTACAGTGTTTTATTTGATCCTGAATAAATCGGTTTGGCTGAGATTAAAGTTATAGTTTTTACACAGCTGAATAAACGTCAAGCAGACAACTGATTATCAGACGTGTGAGATGCTCGAGAATATACTCCGGTATCCCGGTATATTTTAGATAGCAAGGAGCAGACGGCTGAGTTTATTAAACTCCAACGAAACAATCTGCAAATTTCATAAAATATCATCTTGTCTTTATTTTTAGTTAGCACATACCTTAAACACTTAAAGCTGTAAGCTAATGATA